CTCAAGGAAAAGAACTGTTTGGGGAGCATTCAAAAGGATCGAGGATGTATTGAAGGCAAGAAAGAACACCCGTCTCCGTCCTCACCTTTTCGACTCAACGCTACTTCCTGCCCTAACGTATGCGTCAGAAGCCTGGTCACTGCGTAAGCAGGATGAAAAATCACTCAGCGTTGCTGGACGCATAGTCGAAAGGGCGATGCTAGGAGTGTGCCGTGTCACACAAGTAAGGGAAGGGATCCGAAGCTCTGACCTAGACCTACGTCAACGATGAAAAATCAAAGATGCCGTTCCGTACGTTAAGCAGTCGAAGATAAAGATAGATAAGTGGGCCGGTCATGTAATGCCTATTAATGACAACCGGTGGACAAGAGCCGTTAGTGACTGGATTCTTCGGGATTTCAAACGTACTGCAGGAAGACCATTGACCCGATGGTCAGAGTTCTTCACAAAGAGCCTTGAAGAAAGATATGATGCTCGACGAGTCCGTAGAGCGAACGGAACTCTTGCACGCAACAGTGAAAAATGGAAGATTTACTGGCGCGCGCTCGAGTCATTCGACAATCAGCGGGGCTACAGGTGATGCAGGTGATCGGCATATCTAGAATGAGATGAAAATAAATTCAGAAATAGGTGGATAGGTTGAGTTTACGCTATTAGTTCACTTACGTATGACAGCTAATCAAGCTGTCCTTCTTTGATTGTTCAAGTGGTACTACAGTGTCGCTTGAGGCCAAATGCATCGATCCATTCAGTGAATGATTGACGAAAATCGAAATTTATGAAAATAAATCAATATTATCTGCCTTTTTATTTTTGCAATTGATTATTTATGCCTAGTTATTTGCTAATGTGGTTAAATCGGTGATAATGTTTTTCTGAAATTCATGATTAGTTAGAACTTTCCAGACCGAAAACTTCTGTGGGCGCCCATCGTAATGTGCGATCCCTTCATCTGCATTCCGTATCGCTAATGTACTTCGCTCACACAAGATTCTGCCTACATTCAGGTGACGTTATTTTGCAGTACCACAATTTTTAGTCGTTTTTTGCTTTGCTTTGCCTCGTTCGTTCAGTGCTTTCTCAGAAACTTTACCCTTTGTTTAATTCCACTCCACGTTTTTTATTTCGTTTTAGTGTTTAGTCGAGAAGAATTCTCAGAGTTTAAACAATGTGGATTTTTATGAACTTGCAAGGTTTACTGCATATTGTTACTGATTATTCACTGCATTTTGTAGCGTTTAGTTAAAACTGATTTGGCTTAGTAGCAGTCTTACCATCTCACATAAGGAGACCATCTTGTTCACATAATCGGACGTACACGTGAGAAAGCCGTCCTAACTATCCCAGGAACGCTTGGGAAACATTTTTGTACGCTAATTTAAGCAATTACTAATAACTAATTTTGCTCGCTAATTTACTGTTCCTACTTTTCGGGAAGGAGTGCGTGTAGCGCGGTGACTGGAGGGAACTTGCACTACACAGGTGGTTTTTGGTTCGTTCAAACACCTATAGCTCATCAAGTCTTCCATGTTTCCGAGTTCGGTAAATTGGTACCGGATTTGTCTGGGAAGATGGCAGCACTGATTTGATACGTCAATCGACCATCGCATGCTATTATATAGGCCAGGTATGCATTCAATGCCCTCTATTGATGCTCACTATTGTCGAATGCACGGCGCATCCCTCAGGGATTGATGAACGCAGAGAGCTTTATCTTTGTTTTACTTTTATGAGAAGCGTTTATTGCCATCTTTACCGTGTCAAAGGGTGAAAGAACGAGTAACCTGTTGTTGAATACAACTGTAAATCGGTAACACATCATATCAATCTATTTGTTTGTTGAATTGTTTGTTATTTGTTATATGAGAGGCGTTTCTTCATATTCTGCGACTCGCGTGTCTCTACAAAGGCGCATTCAGTTTACAGGCGACACTATCTAGTCAAAAGCAAAAGTTTAGTCTTATTTTATCTCGTCTACGTATAGGGCAACACAGTCGCCGTGTGTACCTTATGGTTTCCATACATCTTGTCTAGCGCAAACGTCAATTTTATTCAGGTGCTTTGTCCGTGCTAAGCAATGGTTATCGTTGTTTTAACAACTATGTCATTGTGTTCGCATGTGCCCGTATTAAACCACCTCATGCTTTTTTTTTATTACAGTCAATCCAACCTTAGAACTTGCATGTATATCGTTAAGTCGTTTTCTGTCGAAGCCGTGTGTAAGTTTCGAAGTCTAAGGGAGAATTATCACTTATATTGTATAGTGAAATTTGCTGGTATTTCAATTTACTTGACCATCATTTCATTCTACAAGGTCCGATAGCCATCGAGATCTTAGCCATTCGATACAGGATACGTAGGTCATCGTTTTTTTCCTTGTCGGTATGTCGTATGTATAAAATGATATATTGATGCCATAGGATGTTGTTTTCACGTTTTTTCTTCCGTGGTACGCTTTCATTTGGTTGCAGTAGGTTTCTTAATGGAATACTTTGGCGGTAAAAACTCTAAAAGCTCTTGTTGTTGGTCAATCCCTTAAGGATGCATTCGACCTCATTAAGCATCCTTGGTGGTGATTGAATGCATATGTGGCCTTTATAATGTCTCATTGTGGGCTACCGATGTGTCGAGCCAGTGCTGCTATCCTCCCAGACAAATCTGGTACTAATTTGCCGACCTCTGAGTGATGGAAGCCTTGGTGATCCACGGATGCGGGGATCGATCCCATGTATTTGTCGCAGGGCGAGTCCGACCACTACGCCACACATACCCTGTAGAGCAGTAATATCTGTAATCACATAATATGCATCGAGTTCGAACTAGCATAGTATAGTAGTGGGTTGGGGTGAAGCCGCGACTTGGCAGCAATAGAAGTGGTGGCGAAGATCCTTAGTAAACACTGACGATGGTTTTAAGTAACCTTAAACTACCCTACTTTATTTAAAGGCTTTGTTTAGCTGCTGAAGACATAGAAACATGTGATTCTTTATAAGAATCCATGAGTTCGCAACCGTTTCATTAGTTCATGGGGTACCGAAACACTTGGAAATTTCTTAAGACCGTTCAAGACTTGATTGCATGTCTTCCTAATGTTTCCTCTTCTGTTTCTAGCTGGAGAAGTCATTTTGCGAGATCATTTTTCTTGCCTAAATTTTACAATTGCAACTGCAGATCGTCTTTCTGGGAAAGTATGCTTTGAATAATAATAGAGTAGCGTAACTTAGTTGTCTTGGGAACTGATTCAGATTTATGTATTGCCAATTTTTGACGATCCAGACGCTTTTTAAACAAATCGCACGTACGTTACTAGTAAATTGGTTCTTGTAATACTTATGCTAATATCACCGGAGTCCAGTTTTGTATCACCAGTCTTAAAGCTGACCTTTTCAATTACTACTTGCTCGAATACTTGGGTGACTAGTCTCCACCGATAACCCTACGGTAGCCGGTATAATTCCCATTTCACTACTAAGTAGTTGACTAAAATATTCACTTGTTCTCCGTCATCATAGCTACCACAGTAGTTATGAAATCCGAGAGTTCCTATACCTTTGCTTGCTAGAAGGATGATTTTTTAGTGGACCACATGGAGAAACTATATAGCTTCTATTTTCTTCAAACTCCACATTTGACTTTAGTGGTTTAAAGCGGATTGCTGAAGTGAATAATGTGAGGCCATGTCATAGCAAAATTAAAGCGCACTAGCACTTTACGAAAGGTCACCACCTAGAAATCTCTATGTAATCCGTAATAAACATTTGGGTGCTTCAGCTTGACTAGTATTTTGTTGATTGCATAAGTTTCTTTCCCATGGAGTTGCAAGGCAGAAGTGTAAAGTTATCTGGGGACTATGACTGTATGTGTCATGGTTGCCTTTCTTTGTTAATTAAAAGGTGTTTTCTTGGATTGCAGTTGAGCTTCTTTCACCACATTTTGTCATCCAAAAACACCACCTCAAGTGTGATAGGTCAACCCTTTAAGTATACCAAATTAACACGTTCACAACGATGCATGTTTTTGAACAACCGGCAATTATTTTCGGTAACTATACTGCCTAAGAACCTGAAGGCTTGACAGACTTATCTAAAAACATGATCGTTACCAATATAGGATAGGATTTTAGGATCTGAGATCAATGTGGCTCTGAAGAAGACAAAGGTGTCGAAACGTTAGTCAAATAAAAGTTTTATAGCATTTATACCAACCTGGTGTCAGATCGGTCATGCATGAAACAGAAGCCACTTTTTCTTTCACAGAAGAGTACTATATAAAATACAACCACAATGATGCTGAGACAGAACTGTGGACCGCAGGTGTCTGCAGTGGAGATCGAACACGTTATTGCCCTTTCCAGAGGGTAACGTGCTCACCACCACACCATGCGGGTATTTCGTTTCGGTTTTCTCTTAGTTAGTTCCGTCTAACAGTGCCATCAGCAATCACCCGTCAACGGTATTCATTTGGGTACTTTTAGAAAAAAAAAAGAAGATGCTTCGAAGCTACCTTTATGTATGTCATGAAATATTTTTAGTTCAGTTCGTTAAATTGGAATTATGAAATATTGACGTAATGTGGAAGTTTGAGGTTCATTTAACGCAAACTCAACAATTGGTTATATCAATGGATATTTCGAGATGCAATCAGGTTTTAATGGTTGAGGCTTCGTTTTTTCAATTGCTTCTGTGTGCGAGTACGATCATGGATAGTAACTAAAGAGAAAAGGCGGTTTTTGTGCTATAGAAAATTAGAATTTCATGTTTGAGTTAGCTATATTTTTGGCCAAGATTTGGACTGCTTTTTTTTGTTTCGAGTTAACAACGTTTGTGATGAACTCCATATGTTTTCTTAAAGTTGAAAGGCGGAGTTGTTTTCGATCATTTATGCATTTTAATGAATACATGGAAAGTTCTCATACGTATTATTTACTGTGAGTTATAATTTCAAAATGGTGTCTTTTTCCGCCTATAAAATACTGTTTAATAATTTGTTTTTTCAGCGAAATGACTGATCTCTGCGAACAACCATTAGGACTACTCTGTGAAGTGATTCGACGCGAATTAGTTCATCTTCTCGAATCCTTGCCTGGCACAAAGGATTTGGTAGTGGATGCTACGTTACTTCGTCCTATTGATCGAATTGCATCCATGAGTTTGTTGCAAAAGCACGGATGTCAACGAGTGATTCCCCTACGACTCGACTCTCAGGTGGCTATCCCGTGGGATTCAAATGTGTTTCGTCGTGTCTACCTTCTCCGCAGTTCCCTGGACATGGCTCGATTGCTGGCCCAACATGTTCGTGCCACTTCTGAAAAGCAAATCGCTGCGATTTGGGTGGATCGTCGTTTAGTGGTTTGTGAGCGAGAACTAGAGCGGCAAGGAGTATTTGGGCTTATTGAGTCTTTTGAGCTGAGCATTTCTTTTATCTCGCTTGAAAGTGATCTGTTTTCAATGGAAATGCCTGTTGCGATTGCTCAAAAAGATTTATTGTCTCCGGCGAATGCTTTATTTCAGTTGCAGTCTCTATATGGTCTTATACCGACAGTTTATGGTTTGGGAGAGCAGACTGAGATGCTGTGGAAGTTGATGCATCATGTTTACATCGATCGAGGAGAGCCGCGGTCGTCGCCGGATCAACCAATTAGCCATTTATTTATGTTCGACAGATCCCTTGATCAAGCCACGGTACTGATGACTGGCCTAACGTACGAAGCTATGCTTCATGAAGTATTCTTTATTGGGTGCGGAAAAACCTCATTCGGTCCAGAAGTAGAAGAGAAGATGAAGCCCGATGTTGAACATGGAGAGGTGACGAAAAAGTCTAAGGTCTACGTTCTTGACAACAACGATGGTGTATTTTCGTCAATAAGAAATAAACATATGACAGGGGTGTTTCCGTTTCTCAGTTCAAAGGCCAAGGAAATTCAATCGGATTTCAATAAAGGTGCTTCAATTGACCAGGTTCGCGACATGAAGCAGTTTGTTTCACAGGAGTTGAAATCATTAAAACTTCAACATCGACAACTAGAGATGCATATTTGTGCTTGCGAAGTATTGTTGGAAAAAAACGGTGCTGCTGGAGCAGGAGAACGTTTGCGATTCGAGCATGAATTGGTGGCGGGAACAGCTAACATCAGTGACGTAATTTCATATCTCGAAGACTGCATGCTGCGAGAATTGCCCTCTTGGCAGGTATTATCACTGGCATGTTTAACCTCTTTATCACAGAATGGTCTTCCTGGAAAGTATTTCCAGTCATTCCGCGAACATTTTCTTCGAAGCTACGGTTATGAGTACCTTCCAATACTTCATAGTCTCTGCTCCAAACGGCTTTTGATTGAGAAGCCTCGACCAATCGTGGGTGCTGCGCCGTCGGCAATGCCTTCTCCATCTCGAAGTGATTCTTTACCAACACTGCCATTTCTTATCAAAAGGCTTAACCTTGTACCAACATCAGAAGACACAGCGGTGGATTTGCGAAATCCATCAGCGATGAGTTATGTCTTTTCTGGCGCCTTCATACCTCCGTTCTGTCAAGTTGTCGCCAATGCAATGGTTCATGGATGGAACACAAATGAACTAAAGAAGACATTTGGACGAGTTTTAGTAGAGGAAAACAGTTACATTCCTGCCGATCGTCGTCCTGACAATCGAATGAAAAAAGCTATTCTTGTTTTCTTTCTGGGTGGTGTCACATACGCTGAAGTGGCAGCACTAAGGCTGCTTGCGGTGCAAAATAATTTTCGGATACTGATAGCATCAACTAATATCATTCATAGGGAATCATATATGAAATATCTCAGTGACGTAGATCCTCGTTTTTCTAATTATCATTTGTGAATTTGTAAACAAATAAACGCACTTCCGACGGTGGAACAGCTCTAGCATATTATTACTCATTTATGTGTTTTATTATGAGTTCACGTGTACTAACAATGAGGAAACTTCATACTTCGGGTGTTCTTGTGATTATTCATTATTGTAATAAATACATGAAACGTGTTGGATTTCAAGGCATGCTGTTTATCAAGAGAGAGAAGTTGTTACCTTTTTACGAGTTCGAGGTATTTTTACTAATTTATTTTAAATACATGACCCGTATGTCTTCAAATTGTTGAGCTTGCACGACGTTGATAAATATGTTTATTTCGGCTAAAGTTTCGACGTCTTCGTTTTCATCAGAGTCGATGATCCGTGTCGGTGGTCCACAGTTATTCGTTATCTCGAAGTGGCGCCTTCGTTTTCGTACCGAGACGGGATCTTCTTCAATGAACACCGCACGAATGAGGCAAGCACACTCGGCACTGTCCTTTTATAGAGGGCTTTTGTTGTTGATAAGACTATCCGCTGATAATAGTTTACTGCATGACCCGTAATTAGATCTAGTATGTGAATTCTAACACTTCTGGCATTCATCGTCAACAAATGTCTTCGAACATTTCACATATTGTTTTAGCTGCTGCTTGAGGATTTCGTCCTCATTGGGAATGCCGTAGAATGGTGGTCGAATCGATTCATCTTGTATTTGTGGATGGCGTAAAACGCTGCGAAGGAGAATTGGGAAAAGTTGAACCACTAGAGCGACGTATAAAAATTGCAAAGAGTAGTTTTTATGGAATTTACTCTTCATTTTTCATTGCAAGCTTTTGTTTAATGGGTTCATCTTTGGAGGCAAAAACGACGGCGAGAACTTTGCCTGTTGTGGTAAAACAATTACTGGTTTTTGCTTTTTTTACCAATACATTATTACACCATCATCAAAGATACGACTGGTTTTTTCATTACGGAATCTTGGCGTACTGTATAAACCGATGTGGGACGGTCAATGTTATTTTTAAGTCCTAAGGTCAGTGTAATATTCTGTGATCTTTTCGGTTGTCCTATTCTTTAGGAATATGACTGAGTTTTCCAATACTATTCCCGATTGGAGATGAAAATCACGACGGGACATTTCTATCTGTGCTAAGAGTAACTGGGTAGCTCAGTAGTGGTGATTCCATTCAATGCGCGCAGGCTACTGATTCGACACAGTACCGGTCCCATTAACCGTATTTGCTCCATGGTCAGTTAGTAGTAGGTTTGTCTCGAATCAGTTCACTCTTTTCTAGTTTACAAGAGTTGGTGATTGCTTGTGTCCAAGATGAGGACATCCTTTTACGGCTATCTTAGGACTACAGAGAGAATCTATTCGACCAGCATTCGATGACATTCATAAAGGAGCCGAAATTCTCAATCAGCAGCAACCGAACACACGCACAAATACAAAACATCGTGGATCATAGATGCAAGGAACCGAATGCGGTGAGATGCATGAAGTGCTTGGATTGGCACAAAATGTGATTTCGGGTTATGTGAACTAGAAATGAACGAGTAGTTGAGCTTATCGCGTAAAGTGGCACGTGAGTCAATGCACATATGAGTAGTGTGAGTATATTGCAAAGTATTTATTCAACATAGCTCATAAGTACCCGTAGAACCACACACCACACATTTGCCATAGTAGATTAGCATTTAATTTTTCATATTACATTATTCTTTATCATGAAACTGAGTCAGTAATTCAGATTTACACTACTATCAGAAAGTGGGTGTGTGTTAGTGAGCAGTGACTGAATATCGAATGGCAAAATTGCTTTGAGCACGTTCGAAATATGCGAGTCATAGGAGGAGGAAAGAAATGCTTCATGTGCAACTAAGGGCAACGGTTGATATGGCATACTTGGAGCAGAACAGTGTTGTGCGGTGGACAAGAATGCCGGAATGAGTGAGGGAAACAGCATTTGGTCAGTCTCCGTCGCCGGCTTTGATAGTGAAATGTCGTTGAGTGTAAAAACGGATGTCTAAAAATTATCTTTTAATTTATTGCAGTCTCACTGTAGAGAGTGGGTCTAGATTTCTTTAATTCCGTTAATTGTGAATGTCCACGCAGTTAACAGTAGCGAACTCCATCCGTCCCATTTGCACAACGGAGCTGCTCAGTAGGTCTCTTAAGAAAAATGTCACACTTTTGACATAATGCATTTTCCTGACGAGAAGGTAAGAAATAGTAGTAGCTGGACGTGGTAGGACTTGTTAGGGGTCTATTTTTGGGGAAGATTCCGAGCGGAAATGTTGCAATTGAAGGTACGCCTTGGCCTATCTTCGTAACTTTGCGTACGATGTAGAAGCGCATAGTAGCATCGGAACTAACGCTGTCTAGTAGTTTGTCGGTCAAGCTGTCTAGGTTTCATATTCAAGAGCGCTAACAAACTATTGTCGCACCTGTACCGGGAAACATAATCTGCGTCGCTGTACTATTGACACTAGAGGAATGGGTATCCGATGACAGAGTTCCTACATCTTATCGATGCATTAACACATTGCAGTATCGCCCCGTACTTGTAACTCAGGTCAGTTGTCACCAATATTTGCAGGTGGACGCGATTTTTGAGGGACGTCGTAGACGTCGCTATGCAAGATGCACGAAACCGATCACTTCTGTAGGCAAAGAGCACAGTGGAATGAAAGCGTAGATGAGTAGAACGTTTGGCATTGGTCAATCCTCTAGGAACACTCCATGGATACTACTTCATGAAGGATCGTTGAGATAGCTGAACGCATGTTTTGCATGTACAATGAATGGCCGCCCATTGTCATATCAAGTCAGTGCGTTGGTCCTCACAACAGGTCTGGTACCAGTTCACCGACCTCGGAGGTGGGAGAGCTTTGGTTGCCCGGTGAGTGAGATTGAGCCCACCGGCCCTTCTCAGAGTAAATAATGGATTTCAAAGATAAAACAAAAGATAAAGGCTCGTATGATTCAATGTAATGCTAAGGGTAACAATACTACGTTCCATTCCGTAAATGGTTGGCACAGTGCGCTCAATGTTGCATGGCGCTTTACAACTACTGTGATGTCATTTTTTGCAGTCTAGTTCCTATTTTAATGAAACAGATACAATAAAAGTGCTTCTGAAAATACGAAGAATTAAACAAGTATAAAAGTATTGTCAAAAGCCTACCGTTTCCGTATTGTTTAAGTGCGATGCGTTAATTGTTGGAATTTTTACAACATTCAAAGCATTGCTATTGTACTCGAGACCGAGTTTCTCTGGTGAACAACTCAATTTAGGGGAACTGGACGTTTTTTCTGAAAAACAACCCTTCAACTTGGTTTACTGTAATGTCTGCAGTATCACGTAGATGACGTCATTAACCATTATCCATACCAATATTCATTTCTTTATTTCTTTTAATATGTCGATCCAATACTCGTCTTGTATCGATGAGATCGCAATGCTCACATCGGCAACTCGCAAATTTACAATTTCTTTTATGGTCCTGAAATTATTTAGTGTTCTCCGCTACTCACCTTGTTATTTAGACCTATCTTGACATATAATGCGGAGCATAGCAGTTTTCATTTGGCTGCTATCTCTTACCTCCTGTTAATTGAGCACATTCTCAAGTTGTTACCACAGGAAGTTACCGGTCTCCGTGGTTCAGTGGAAAGTTTGGCGTTCCCACACATCGAGAGGAATAGCAAAAGTACGGGAAAAGCCGAACGCATTCTCTGTTTGAGCGACTTTTCCATTTAAAATTAAAAAATAAGAGATGAGGTGTTCGTGGTTGATTAATTCCTTAGGTGCGTGTCATACATTCGACAAGAACCAGAGGATATTGGTTTCCCTCTACCAAGACTTGCATAGGCCTACTGATGTAACAGCTCATTATTCTTTTTTTCCCAGATAACTTTTGCGCCAATTTGACGATTGCGGATAAATAGAGGTTTTAACTAATCCAGGATGTTGGATCGAAACAATCAGCATACGTGTATTGTAGGGTTCTGAACGAGAAAAATCTGTGGACAATATTCTCAGCAAAGTAACAAATGTCTATAAATTCTAAATCGAAATAACATTTTTTTATACTTTTTTTTTACAAGCTGTTCAATCGCTATCAAATGAACAATCGTGTTAACGGGTTTTTTCCTATCTGAGATGCTACACAGTGTGTACTATGTCAGGCTTTGAAGTAGATCTATAAGGTTGTACTAACTGAGAGACTTTCTGTATTCTCTCTTCGTGCATCAACTCTTGTTTCCTCAGCCAAAACATTGCCCTTTGCAGAATGAATATGGACAGCTATCATTCAGCCTTTAATTCGTTCACATAGTGCTCTCCACCTCTTTCTTGCTTTCTTGTTCCATGTAGTAGAATTAGGATGCTGAGCTGAACCTTAATTTCAGTTGTACACCGTGCATATTCCGCTTCAGTTACCGACGCTTCACTTATTACTTATTCCTTCCTACATTTGTTGCTCATATTCTCCTGTCCGACCAGAGTTTGATATTTGCTCCGTGGCAACAACTAAAAGTCCTGCAAAGTATGATGTCGAGAATTCTATCTTGAGCTAGTGACTATTCGGTACTAACAACTGACTTGAACTACTGCATTCCACGCAGCTAATCACTATAATATCTCTGTAAAGGAAAAAACACGCTGTCCTGACAGCAAATCCATCTAATGTGATGGTGTATGAGGCTTAACTACGACAAGTTTTCGCTGTCTTTAGAATTGGACTAATTGGACGGTCAACTTATAGCTTGCTATTTAGGTGAGCAGTTTCACCATGCTGTCTTATATGATCATAACTGAGCACACGATTTGCTAAAGCAAGGCCGTTTTACAACATTTGGCACAAGTTCTAAGAAGTCGTGTTTTGGCCATCATCTGTTGCAAATGTATTGATGAAGGAAAAAACTGCGTTTCTGAAATTTCCTTCTCCGTTTTAGAAATGCTCATATCTTCTGACGGCCAACACTCTTACGATGGACGACATTCTTAGCCAACTGGAAGGAGGATAGCCCTTTAGTGCCGAGCTTAAGGCGTAACTAAACTGCCGAGCTCGCAAGACATTGGTGGCGATCCTGCTCGTTACGCCGGCGGCTAAACCTACTCAGCCCCTAGTTGGAGCTCGCCGCAGTCCTACCGGGCCTCTCATCTATATGGAGGCGGACGTTGGTACCAGAATTGCCTGGACAATCTCACTACCTCTACTCCACGTGAGGACGCCACACCACGGCTATCTCAGGATTCGAGGAGAGTCGACTGGTCCGGAATTCAACGACATCCGTGGAGAAGATGAGAAAATCCTCAAGCTGCAACCTAAGTCAAACGCAGAAAGTTTGAAGACCTTCTTGGATGGAAGATGCGAGGAAACCAATCAATTACAACAGGTGATGGAATTCGCATCTTATGACACATATGATGTGGGCTCATATTATTAAGGTAATGAAGTAGTTCAGCCCTGTAGTCTTGTTTTCATATCGTCTAATATAACTTTTGTAAATTTCTTGTGAAGTCACCTTTTTCCACATTAAAACTCCATGATTTTTGCATTTCTGACAGAAATAGCACACATTTGTTTCGTCTCGGTTGTTGGTCTCAACGATACTGCCGTTCGATGGTATGACGTCAGCTTCTGATGCATTCGTTGTTCTCTAAAGGAGTCGCTTATTTTAACTGTTGAAAGTTTAATAGTCATAATTTCTTATTTTCTGTGACACTATTAAAGGCATTTTTCCACAGGAATCTTCTATATTTATCATCTGTATCGCCTATTGTCCTGTTCATAGTCGAGCGATTCAAACGAGCGCCAGTAAATTTTCCATTTCTCCCCGTCTTGTACATGAGTGACCCACTTGGGTTCTACTCGCTCTAGGGACTCCCTAAGCCTTATATCTTTCTTCTAGAGTTTTCGTGAAGAACTCCGACCATCGGGTCCGTGGTCTTCCTGCGGTATTTTCGACATTCCGAGGAATCGAGTCACTAAGGGCTCTTTTCCATCGGTTGTCGTTCATACGCATTATTTTTCCGGCCTACCCTATCTTTGACTGTTTGGCTTATAGAATGGTGTCTCTGGTTCTTGATTGTTGACGTAGATCTAGGAGCTTCGGATAGCGACCTTCACTTGTGTGACACGGGAGACTATTAGCATCATACTTTCGACTGCGCGTTCAATGACGTTGAGTGGTATTTCATCCTGCTCACGGTGCGACCAGGTTTCTGACGCATACGTTAAGGCGGGAGGTATCGTGGAGTCGAGAAGGTGGGCACGGAGTCCGTTGTTCTTTGTTCTGTTCTAGAGAGAGGGAGAGGGAGACGAAGAGTTAGAGAGTGAGTGAGTGAAGAGAACTAGTAGGTACCAGCCTGATATATCAATCTAATAGTGCTATTCCAACGAATATTGTTTAAAACACTGTTGATCCTAACGTTTTTTAATCTCATAAGGCCTATCTAATTACATATAGAAAGGGAAGTGGGAATGAAATTAACATTCATTAATACTTTCTTCATTCAGGTCCTACCTGGAATCTCTTGTCCTGTTGTCTTCGCAACCGTATCTGCGTGGACATAATTGAACGTCTTTGACGAATGAGATCGCACTAAAAATGAAAACATAGGAATTTTCGTCTGTGGCATCTTTTTTCTAATTCACTCCTTAGGTAATAAATGCAAAATTACCTACTTTGTGTAATGACTACTAATAAGTAACAATTATTATGAACGAAAGGCTAGAAGGCACGGTAGTTTCGGTAGGAGTCACTTCCATGTCCATTTCCTATTCAATGGATAAAAATAAAGGATAGAGCTCTTGGCGTTGATCAATCCCTCAGAAATGCGCCATGCATTCGACTTCACTAACCATCGTTGGAGGTGGTTGAATGCATATTTAGGCTTTACAATGACTCGCGGTGGTCTACCGACATATCGAACCAGTGCGGTTATCCTCACAGGAAGTCTGGCACTAATTTGCCGACCCAGAAGGAGTGGAAGGCTTGCTGAGCCACGGGCGAAGGGATCAATTGCACGTATGTGTTGCAGAACGCCTCCAACCACTGTGCCACACCACGCTCTCCTTCATTTCCTATTAGTGCAGGTGTTTACGTTTTCCGCTTCAGCATTTTTATTTTGGCTCTTTAAAAACTACTCAACTTTTCACATGTACAACTTTTGAATTGACAAATATGGCCTCGTGTCTCAACCACCAGTCCATGCTGCCTACACATTCCACAATGTCGTTTTACATCTGAAACTGTGATTCGTGACCATAAAAATTCTTGAAATAGCTTGTAAACGTACACTTATTTAAATGGTCCACATTTTTCTATATATTTGTGAATACAAATACTCTATATTTAACCTATAAACTTCTGATTATTGAAAATTGTGAATGATTTAGCTCGACAAGTTGTCTTCCATCGTTCGCCAGCTAACTGTAGGAATCACTCCACTAAATTCTTTCCAATCTACGAAGTCGGGCAATAGCCTATGGTGAAGGCCTTGGAACATACGGCCACCTATGTATTCACTCGGCCTCATATCGCCTTCGATCAGTGGTTGGCTAAATTTAGGAACCTCTCTCTTAACCTCTTTCCGATTATCAAGGTTCCGCCATTGACTATAGTAAAGACCATGGAATGTAATGGTAGTCGTCCCCTAATTGTAGAAATCGCTATGTTTAACTCGTTCCGCTCTACAAGGTTTACAGGGTATCTATGGTGAAAATTCAGGACCGCTTCAGAGTAAGCGTTCAACTTGTCAATGAGGATAGTGAACCACAGCTCTTAAAGCCATTGAACCCACATCCGAACTCCATCATTTTTATGGAAGACGGGTACAAAGCGAAGAATCTAGTAGTATATACTATAGGACCCATACGGCATGAGTGGCCATCTATGAAACTAAACGAATGTTCAAACAATGAACTAATCACAATTTTTCTTCGTCGACTAAGAGCGATCCTTAGTGTTTGACGTTCACTTCATATGGTATCGTTTCGCCATTAATGTAGAATGTTACGTAGTATTTAATGTACAGTACCTCTTGGAATTCTCTTACTGTAGCCGAAAAATCGGTGACATTCAGTTGCTGCCTTTGCTGAAGACGAACTGTCATCACAAGTACTCATCTATTTCTATAAGAAACAGAATTCCTTATAATATCATGAACACTTCAGAAAGAGAAATTTGCGATTAACCCTGACAAAAAGACTCGAAGAGTTGTCATATATTGCTGAAAAGATGTGAAAATATTCAGACAGGTAGAAAACAGATTCGTTGAATTCAAATTCAATAAATGCTTTGTAAAGCATTCATCGTGTTTCATCAATGTGTCACAAAAACTTGTTTTGAAAAAGAATGAAATGAAAGAAAGAGCTGAAGCGAAGGTAGTAATTGAGAAGCCAGAAATTTTAAAGATGCGATAAACGAGGTGCTCAGTGGCGTCCTGAGTGAAAAGAAAGTTAGAGCGTTTTCTAAAGTGATGTTCGTTTACATTCTCATAAAGGTCATCCTGTTAAACGACAAGCATGCTTAAATATGAGCAAAACCGGGCACCTCGGCTGGCGGCTGGAACCCGCGATTACCCTTTTCGGGGTTCACGTGTAATTCACCACGCCAACCGGGGCTCTCGCTTTGCCTTTCTCTCGGGAAGTTTTTTTTTCTATCGGTGCTATCGGCAATTACCCGTAAACGGGAACTGAATGTTTCTCTAATTTTACCCGCATCTCAGCATCCTCGTGGTTGTAGTTTACATCTCACCCTGCCATGAATAAATAGGCAGTAAATAAAAGTTAAGACATCTTATTTAGGACAATTGTTATTCAAAAACCTCTACATTGCGCATTATGCGGATTCCGGCACTTTTTTCATTCTATTCGTTTTATAACATCGTCGCCTTCGAAGGTCTTCGGGTCCGCACATCGGTTGAGCTGCTGTGTTGGAATTTGATCTTCTTGAATATCGTTGAGCTTGATTTAGCCATGCTAGGGCGTTCAAGAAGCTTAATTAAAGATAAATTTAAGCCCTTGTTGATCGTAGGAAGCTTTGCCCCAATAAATCTGGTACCATTTTGTCGAGTTCAGAGGGAATGGGTTGCACCGGGAAGTGTTCAACCAGCGATCGCGCGCGCATCATTGTATGGGCTTATTAAATCACTGCTGTTTCGAAGCCCCATTCGAGTTAATTCCTACGTTGTGGGAAATCGAAAATATAGTTTTTCCCATTAACCTTTAGCAACAGAAATTTGAACAATCACTGGATTCAGTTTAGCCAAGGAAATTCAAATTGGACGGGATCCGATGTCTCTATAGCTAGTTTATCGCGGCTCCATAGCGATTGAACTATCGAATTGCTACACGGAATTCGTCGTCGACGTTTTCATCCAAGCTGAGAACGAGTTGAAAATTCGCATTTCGAGGTTCTTTTGAGCATAAATGGTTGCTAAGAACTGTGCTAGATGAAGTCTAGTGGAAAATTACAAATTTAACCCAAATTCGAGTGGGCCAATAAATGCTTGTGTTTTTGAATCTGAGAGCAATTTCCGGAATCCAGGTAAAAGCTTCTTCCCCAGACCTTTGAAGTAGTGTTCAAATGAAAAATGTGCTGTGAGCCATATGGTCTTTGTGAATACAGGCATCCAACTGTGCACAAGAGATAGTTCAGATCAATCTGGTGTTGGCTGAGACAGATCCTGCTTCGTACTCAGTTTAGGAGCAAAGAAACTTTGAAAATTCTACCTACTGTATTCCGCAAGTCTATAAGAACCTTATGATCTTTAGATTTTTCGCATGAGGCCTTTATTTTTTCATATTTTTACAAGAAAGTAAGAACGGGTAACTCATCAGCTGCTATCATCGTAAATGTTTATTCAAAATCGAGTTTCTGGTTTGAAATCTGGAACTCTTTCTCAGCTTAAGTGGTCATAGTGTGGGATATGTCTTCGGTGTTTGAAGTTATTAGGGTTTTTGTTCCTTTACAAAGTCATAGGCTGTTACAACTTAGCCTCAGATCGGATTTGGCGACAGAGGGTTATCTAGCAGAAACGAGATTTCTATTCAGTCGTTCATTCTAGTAGTTTATAAACTACAGTAATCAACTGCAATAAAATTAATATAATGGAAATTGTACAGCACTTTATTTTGCTCCATTTTCGCAGCGCTATTTCAGCAGTACGAAGTGATGGCGCAATGAAGGGGTGGAAAATCATGCGAACGCTGTTCTATTCTATGTATGCATGGACCACCCCTTAGGGAGTGATCAAATGCTTATCCTTTAACTTTCTACGGCACAGCAGAACGTAGGATTGAAATATACTGAAAATTCCTTCTTATATTGCTCTAATTTTATTCTTTTTATTGGAGAAGATTATTGACATGTAGTTACACGTGAAATGCAATGGTTAGAGGTACCCTGCAATTCACATGTGATATTTGGTTCGATTCCGTGCTCCGGGTTGGCTAAACCTCCCATCCTTCCAGATCTGGAAATTCTATTCCATGTATGTCTAGTAGGATAAGGGCATTGGTTTGATACATTGGTAGGCCTCCGAAAGTAACTATATCGTCCGAATAAGCACTTTTTTTACCTTTATCTTGCTAGAAGTGGATTATAAAGCATGGCGTATCTCTCACAGATTTATCAATACCGCATACTTCTTTTTGCTGTTTTATGTGGAAACATTTTGTTGTAGAAGATTCAGCTTACTGAACTCATACTCGAAGTGGTCGTCGATTGTTCGCTATCATCTTCGAAGAATTCTAATCGCAAAACAGCACATCTTTTCCCAATCAGCAGAGATAAATCAGTGCCTCTGGTAAAAATCTGAGCACTTCTTATCCACGATTATCTCGAAAATAGGAAGCGGAACGGTAGTGATGCAGTTCATTTGGAATAAGGCGCCAGTTCAACACCTTTTCGAGTGCACTAGACCTCCCATTAGTGCTCAGTCGGGAAACTGGTACCGTACTTGTCAGAAGCAGTTAACAGAAATGCAGAAAAGCAGGGATCCGCGCAACATATCACGTCGGGTTATGTAAAAAAAATCTCGTAAGTGCTTGAAAAACCATGAAAACGACGATGAACTTTCACAATGGTCGTAAGGGAAGAGAGGTCCTAATGGTTCGCATGAAGTACAAGAACGGACTATCTCAAATTCGGATAGGTATTTGTGAATTATTGATGGCAATAACAAAGTCAACACCTGTGGGAAAACATTCGTAGGAGCAGTTTCATCTTTTGAACAGAATTTATTAAGAGAGCTTTCCAAAGGTTGAGGAATTTGAGAAGAATGAGAAAAAAGGAGCAAAACCATTTGTATAGTTCGTGGAAGTCACAATAAGTTTCAGAGATAACTTTTCTGTTAAAATGTCATGTTTCAAATAAAGACGTTCTTTGCCGAATTTTTAAACACAGTACCGTAATTTTTTGGTGATAAGGGAAACTCATTATTTCACCGTAACATTGACTGAATGTAAAAACGCAATGATGAGAATAACAGAATCTCCTTCGGATTCTGAAGTTTGCCGTAACGACATTTTAAGTCATTCAGATCAAAACTTGAACATAATTTGCTTTTCAAAACAGCTACGAATCTTTACAAAGTATGGATATAGGCTTCTGTTCGAGATGTGCTTTAGAGACGAAATTTATTAAATATTTAAAGTATTATGACAGTCCTACCCTCTCCATGTTGATTGAATATAAAAACTCAATGATGAGAATATTAGAATCTGATTCAGGTTTTTGCTATAAAGCATAGGATAAAGCTTTCGACGTTGATCAATCCCTGAGAGATTAGCCATGCAATCTACTTCATTAAGCGTCGTCGGTGGTGATTGAATGCATATCTGGCGTTTACAATAACTCCCGGTGGCCTACCGACCTATCGAGCTAGTGCTGCTATCCTTCAAGACAAGTCTAATACCAATTTACCGACCCCGGAGAGATGGAGGACTTGGTGAGCTTGGGGTGCGGGGATCGATCCCATGTGTATTACAGGACGCCTTCGACCATTGCGCCACACACGTCCTTTGAGTTTGCTATAGCAATATTTTAACGCGTTCAGATGAACATTGGAATACAATTTGGTTTTAAAAATAACTGAATCTTTACAGTGTATGGATATGAAATACTGTTCGAGATGCGCTTTAGAGGTAAAATTTATTGGACATTTAAAGTACTATGATAGTCCTACCATCTCCATCTCAATGTCTCTCCTTTACTATGGCTTCAAGAGACTGCTGTATGTTGAACTTCTACCATATGCGGATGTGGCTCATTTCCATGGAAGTTTTTCCACTTTGGGAAGGACTTCGACACTTCTATTCTGGGATCTCAGCTATGAGTAAACCTATGATACGCGGAATAGCCGGTAGATCCTATGGCAAACTTAAAGTGCAGTTGAGCATAAATGACCACGCATGGAAAGTGTGATGCTCTTCATCACCCTTCCGCCAGCGGAGATCAATGAGCAGTTCTGGTCCTCTTCAAGGACGATTATAGCTTTCTAATTGCAGATTGAGATAATCTATGATTATAGCGAGTCTTCAAAATCTCTTCGAACCACAATATGTTTGTTTGAAAAAATTCTGTGAAATATAACTCGTGTATAATGCTGAGATATTTGCAAAACTCCGGACCGCAGGTGTATACGGTGGGGGACGAGATTGTGATTATAACTAAACCTCAGCTTAACTGGGTTCAATGCCGATTTGGACTCCCCAAATCAATCTCGCTGATGGGTGATTGCTGATGGCAAAAGATCAATAAAACTAGCTGAGGGGCACGCAGTGCGCAGGACCCGGATGGTGTGGTGGTGAAGTGCGCTACTCCCCGGTAAGGACAATAGTGCGCGTTCGTTCCCCACCGCGTACACCTCCTAAACGGTCCGGAATTTTGCAAATATCTCAGCATTATACACGAGTTATATTTCGCAACATATCCTGTAATTAAAAAGAAAAAAGGCAATAAATAAAAGGGTTAAGATTCTGTGAAATGTTACGTGGAGACGAATTTGATGAATATAGTGAACTTCCGCTGGCGGAGTCGAACAGTGAGCAAATGACATTGTTGTTGGTGCTGAATATTTCAAACACTAAAATGGTCTAGTGACTTCTTTTCCGGTTAGATG